TTTCTGGAGAACAGTTAACAACTGGTGGTAAAACTCATCCTTGATTGCATCCGGGCTGCAATCTGTCGGGGCATAGGCGGAGATGACGAAGAGACATCGTTTCTCACGCCGATTTCTTCTCACTTTGATGGAACTTTCTAATCTAACAGCACATAACCGACTGTTAACGAGGATCCAGTCGATTAGTGCTGCCTCAGCTCTAGCGCTCAGTGCGACACCAACGCCAGCAAAACTGGACGAAGATGCCACAGGGTCCCCGGATAAGCGCACGTAAAACAAGCTTTTTGAAGCGACATATGGAGAGCAAATTTGTAGTACTTCACCAGAGTCTTGAATAGGGTCTCGGATAGACAACAGACGTCGATATTAAGACTTTCCAAAGACATAGCTAGTCCTATCTGTTGTCCAACCTGCATAAGTGTGCGAACGTTGAAGACAGTCAGTTTGAGTGGTGCACGTGTTTTCAGGTAAACTGCTTCAGTATTCGTATTTGGTGGTAGCATACAATTTTCAACCCGTCAGTGACTCGAGAACGTTTAGATTCAGTCGAATTTCCACCATAGACGAGCTGCTGTGTAAGTCGAAAAAAATAAGTATAAACCGAGTGGGAATAAAAGAGGGTGAATAATGACGTAGTAAATAATAATAATAATATTATTGCGGGTCACTAGACTGTTATTTGGAGCGAGAGGTATATTTTTCATAAGTAGATAGTTTATCATGTTTTTGTGAGCGGGCTGCGATACTGCCCGGGTGCCCAAACTGAAGCAGAAGGCTCGATTAGCTTTTGCCAACTTGCGTCATTTATGGCGTAGGCGAGATATCCGTCTATCAACCAAAGGACGTGTTTACTGTGCAGCAGTTCGTTCCGTCCTACTTTATGGGAGTGAAACATGGCCGGTAAGAGTAGAGGATATCCGTAGGTTACTAGTATTTGATCATAGGTGTCTTCGAAACATTGCTCATATATCATGGGACCATCGAGTAAGTAACACAGTTGTTAGGAAACGGGTACTAGGTAAGGATGGCAAATCAATTGATGACGTAGTGAAACTTCATCAGTTGAGATGGCTGGGACACGTGTTACGTATGCCCAACGACCGACTGCCTCGACGTGCTATGTTCAGTGGTATAGGAGTAGATTGGAAGAAAGCCAAACCAAAACATGGCACAAGTCCATGAAGTCACTGACAAGTGAACTGAGTCATGTTGGTAGGTGTAGACTACCTGGTTGGGGACCGCGAGATGACAGCAACCGTTGGTTAGAGACCCTGAATGACATGGCTCAAAATCGTTTGCAATGGCGCAGGTGCATCCACTCTCTGTGTTCTCCCAAATTCTAATCTTCTGAATTCTTCATGTCCCTTTTTTTCCTCTTTCCAAATTTCTTTCACTGGATTATACTCTTTAAATAACATCTCCAAACCCTAATCTTCCCGATTACTGCTTATACTCTTATTACCTCTACCACTACGGGATTTGAATCGACAAGTGCATCTCTGTGCTAATGTGGTGTGGCAACTCGAACTGATGTACGTACGTACGAAGTTCTACGTTGTTACTGACTGACTGACAAACTGAAGCAAGTGGTTTTCTTAGGGGGCCGTACCCCGGGCCTTTTACCTTAAGATCTGACCCACAAGGCGGTGGAGCATCGTGAGGAGATGCAGTCCCATAAAACCTATAAAACGGTCATGTGTGACCGACCTCGGGCGGTTGTCCCTTGGGCACTGCGGTCACGCTCCCAGGTCACTAAAACCTCCTCTAATGCGATTTCCTTTTCAGGTACCTCCAGAAGAACCCTTGCACGGTGTGGGCAACCGGGAAGTGATATCCGCCCTCATACTTCTAACAGCACTCAAGACCACTGTATTCATAATCAACCTCCCTCTTCAATTCCTATTATTCCTCCTACATCGACTTCAAACTCTAAACTTTTTGCGGCTTCCTCCTCAAGTGTCACCATAGCCAACGATTCTAGTGCTCAAAACACTGTCCCAGGTCTACTGAAACCTCACTCCAAACTACACATTGGAGCCTTCAATGTACGCACCCTATGTCAAACCGGTCAGCAGGCTTCCTTGGCTAAAACCCTAGAATCTCGTACCATTGATGTATGCTGTGTCTCCGAAACACACATACAGGATCTCAATGTGGTCATTCACTTGACCTCACCTCGGCAAAACGGAGAGCCAACGAGATACACCCTCCGTGTATCTGGTGACCCGATGGCCAGCTCTCGTGGACTGGCAGGAGTAGGGATAGCACTAAGCATGAGGGCGGAACAAGCACTGTTAGAGTGGGTCCCCGTCAACAGTCGTCTATGTGCTGTTCGGCTAAACGGCTCCGTAAGAACTCGGAAGGATAGGGACACACGTCGTTGCCTTTTCGTCGTTTCTGTCTACGCTCCCACTGACTGCAGCTCAAATGAAGTGAAAGATGAATTTTACAGAAAGCTCTCTGAACTTCTTCAGAAAGCTAAACGTTCAGACATAGTACTCGTAGCAGGTGACTTTAATGCCCAGATAGGTAGTTTAAACCAAAAGAAAGGCATTTAGGTGGGTATTTTAGTATTCCGGCACAACGAACAGATAATGGTGATCGTCTGCTGCAACTATGCTCAGACAATCGTTTATTTTTATTAAACCAAATTTTAAGCATAAGGAGAGACATCGTTTAACATGGCGACCCCTACACCAAACCAACAATGTGGTGTCCGCGTGACTATCGTAACCAATGCTTGGAGACTCTGGGTGACATGGCTCAGAATCGATCACAATGGCGTCGGTGTATACACTCCCTGTCTTCCCTTAAACTAAGAGATTAAAATCGCTTCATATCTTTCTTTCTATGAACTAATTCTTCCTGTACTACATTCTTATATGCAATCTTTCTTTTATATATTACCACCTCTGAATTAACTACTTTTGTGTATCTGGTGTCCATCTTGTTGTGTTAATGAGGTATGGCAACTTGAACCGATGCATATATGTGTCTGGTTCTACGTTGTAGCTGACTGACTGATAATTGGTAAGCTTATGAAACCCTGTATGTCAATAGGCAGGTTAAATCACAGCACCGTCTGTTAGCTGGACATAGACTGGATTAAATCATGGCTAATTCTTATCCCATGAGCGTGCACCAAAGCAATCGTGCATTGAGCATGCTTTAATCCAGTCGATGTCCCGCTAACATCTTCCCTTTGAGCAGGTTCGTAGGATCTGGTGTGTCGAGGACGTTTACGCTTCTTCTTGGGCTGAGGCGTACGATTCGGTGGACAATGACTTTCTTTATGTCCACGTTTGTTGCACATCTGACATTTATGCTTCTTAAATGGACAGAATCGTACATAATGTCAATCACCACATTATTATTATTATTATTATTATTATTATTATTATTATTATTATTATTTAAACACATAAACATTGGTACAGGGAGGCACCAAGTAGATAAGCGCCACATAAATCATTCGATTTGTGTGAGGGCTGTGATACTGCCCGGGTTCCCAGACCGAAGCAGCAATCACCACATAACCAGTATGCAGTCGTTGGTTCGTTACGAGTTGTAATCGGCTTCTGAACTTTTAACCTAGTAATAGCATTGACACTACTGCAGGTTAATTTAGGATTTGCCTGTTCAATCAACTCGTTATCTTGTCTGATGCTTTGTAGCCGCTTACACTCATCTGTCAATGTTCTGAGTGAGACGTTTGGGTCTTGATTCAGTCGAGCCAAAACTCTCGTCCTGGTCTCAGCATCTTGTGGTGACTGAAGAGCTTTGATGAATATTAAGCATTTAAATTGGTCTTCTGTCAATGAACGTAACTAGAGCCGTTCACATTCTCTGTTGACGATGTCTGCTAGAATACCATATTCATCGGCTTCGCGTTTCACCAAATTTAGACACCGATATTGAATACTAAACAATGAGGATGACTCACAGAATATCTCTGACAATTGGATTACCGTCTTGAAACTGAGCTCTCGAGGTAACTTTGGCAATATATGGTCAGTATAGCGTGCATGTTCATTGCTTCCCAACTTGCGTACCAACAGTCGAGTCTTCCACGCGTCATCTTGGTTACAGAATTCTGTTCTAAATGTATCTTCCCAACGTTTGAACCACATGAGAAAAGTATTTCCACTTTCGAGATCATAGATGAATTCTGGTATGCTGCTAGCAACTGCATCCCAAGACGTACTTGGGATAGCATGTGAACTCCAGCACTGGATGTTAAGCTGTTGAGTCAGGGTCTCCAACAACCGCATTTGTGCATCAATTCGTGCTTGCTGTTGTTGTAGTATCCGGTTAAGCTGGTTATCTGATATGGACATCTTGGATTTGTTTTCCTTTTTCCTCATCGCCACTGTTAGCGGGACATAGACTAGATTAAGTCGTGCTCAATGCACGCTTGCGTTGGCGCACGCTGATTGGCTGGTTCTTATCCAATCAGCGTTAGGCAATACTTAGTGAACACTAGAAATCTTATGTGAGAAACTATAAATATACTAACGTTTTCCCTACTGCACTTACTTGATTCTTACTTTCATCTAACCTTGTTATTTGGAATATAATCTCTTTCCTGTCCAACCGTGTTCTGATTTGGGGACTTGTCGAGTGATTTGGTGTCCAAGAATACTAAGCAATAGGAATAGCTGGGTTATAACCGTAAGAGAGAATTATAACACCATCAAACTAATTAGTTTCACTCTTTAAGCAAAAATAACTTCGGAAATTTCTTACCGCCGAGGGCGGTGTAAGTGCTGAAACCAATTTAATTTACCGTTCATGGGTGATTTGTAATATAAACTGTCCATTTCTTGTATAATTTCAGTTCACTTGCTGTGCGCTGTAGCTGCTTACATTGTCTAGTCATATTTTTCCATATTTCAGGCTCTCGTATTAGATGTCTTCGAAGCTGGTACCTGGAGGGAACAAGTCCGGATTGCAAGACTTTTAATTTGCTATTTTCACTGATTTAAAACTTTGGTTTGTTAATGTTGACGAATCGTCTGTGCTTCGCTGCTATCGGAGTTATTCCGTTAATTTTAGTCACATTTTTCCTTGTCTTCGATGTGTGCGGTGAACACTGTCACAATGACGGTAATTTGAGTATCTTCGTTAATTTAAATAATAGTCTTTTTGCAGGCTAAACTTGGTAAACTCTCTTATGCTAGATGGGTGAATACGTCAATTACTTTAATCTGCTCTGGAAAAGAATTTGTAGATTTCTCCATGTATATATTATTTTTGTTTCAGACAAGCGTTATGTGGTATTCTGTGCGGAAGGTTTACAAAATGGCTATTGGATGTCTTAAAAACGAACATAGGCAGTTACATTTAGATTGGTTTCCTAATGTTCCTGAAATAATGTAAGAATACTTTGATCCATTCTATGCTCCCTAGTGCAACTTACGTATCATATGAAAACAAATTCGTCAAGAGTGTATATTTTCGTTATCAAACGGAATTCTAACTTCCAGGGTTTTAGTAGAAGAACTAAATGGTATTTATTTGTTTGTTATTATGTAGCTTTAGATCAATCAGTTGATATGGCGCTAACTACGACAGTATATTTTCTACCAAATTCAATAATTACTAATGTATTTTTTATCTGCAAACAGGTTAGTTTATTTTAGCATCGAATTACTCTTCCCAACTACCTTGACACATGCTAAATAATAAGTCCTGTGTACGGCTGATTCGACTAGTTCCACAAGAGCATTTTAACTCACAGATATTATCAGTTTAGTTAATCTATCTCATACTGATTACGTCAGCATTGATTTGGTCGAGAGTTAGCTTGAACACTCATTTCTTTCCTTTGGGTCTCCTTGGGATATCGCTGGGTATATTTTTTCCGAAGTCTTACGTTGAATGAAAGGCTTCCTCACCTGTAGTGTCACCTATTCCCTCTAAGTTTGAACAGTTACAAATTGTCAAGGTAGTATTGTAGTGAACGAGAATACCAGTGGGTACAACCAAACGTATTTAAACACAAAATTACAGAATATCCCAGTAAGATCTGAGAACTATACAGTAAATACTTCATTTGCCAAATGTCAATCAATTGTCTCAAACTTGATTTTTCCTTCGTTTCCACACCAATAACTCTGTTATCGTTCTCTTCTCTTCGGCTTTTTCAACCTGCCGCCAGACATTCCACTTCTGATTGGTGATACATACTTATACACAAATAAAATGAAATGACGATAATTACCGATAATTACTTGTCGGCATCAGTAGCACATCCTACACTGCTACGTTGCGGCATCTAATTCATTTTTGTTGTGTTTCTTTATATCAGTAAAAATGAGTCCAATTGTGCAGGCAATATATATATATATATATATATATATATATATATATATATATATATATATATATATATATATATATATATTCATCTTCGCATACGGTTAGCGCGTTGATACTTGTTGCTATTTAAATGTTTTACAGGGAAGATAGCATCTTGATTTTACAGTGTATTGCATTTTATAGGGTGAAGTGCGAAACGGAACTTGTCATAGTCGATTGGGTAACGGCACATTTTATAATGGTGAAAAAAACATATATAAAAACAACGAATTTTATAAAATAACCGATAAAGTTGTTCCTACACATATGGGAAAACACGAGTAAGTAATTTACTATTTCTATAGTTTACAACACTGGTTTTCAGTTATTTATTAATTACTATTGTAGAGTGAGTCATTCTCGTCATCTTAGTTATATATTATTGTACTACAGAAGTGTTTCATGAAAATCTTATTATTAAGAACTTGTTATTTAATTTGATTTTCGTTTGGAGCCCTTTTGATCATTTCTAATACATCTGGTCCAGGGAGATAACCGACACACTCTGATTTGATCCACAGGTGGTCTTTATCTTTTCTGCACGTCAATGTTTCCAGTTCGTGAAGATATCAACCCTGGTTACATTTCCAATAATACTTCCACACTGAGACGTGCAATAACACTGCACTAAGTTCTTATTCATGTATGTATCAATTAGGGGACGAGTATACTTTGCGTCAGTTCGTTCTGTTCTATTTTACGGCTGCGAAACGTGGCCATTAAGAGTAGAAGATACTCGTAAGCTACTAGTATTTTACCACAGATGCCTTATAAATATTTCTCACATCTTCTGGGATCATCGGGTAAGTAATAGTGAGGTTAGACTCAGGGTATTAGGGAATGATGGTAGATCTTCACCAACTGAGAAGGTTGGGTCACCGATAATCACGGTGCGCATTACTGACTAGTGTTGGGGATGGTTGGAAGAAAGTTAGGGGCGGCCAAACCAAAACGTGGCATCAGTACTTTAAGTTACTAGCTTCTAGTCTTAGCCATACTGGTAGATGCAGACTACTTGGTTGAAGTCCGTGTGACTATCGTAACGAATGATTGGAGACTCTGGGTGACATGACTCAGAATCGATCACAATGACGTAGAAGTGTACACTCTCTGTCTTCCCTTAAACTATGAGATTACGATTGCTTTATATCTTCCTTTATACGACCTAATTCTTTCTTCATGTATTATATCCTTATATGCAATCTTTATTTTATATATCACCACCACTGAATTAGCTGCTTATGTGAATCCGTTGTTTATGTTGTTGTGCTAATGAGGTGTGGCAACTTGAACCGATGCATATATGTGTCTGGTTCTACGTTGTAGCTGACTGACTGACTGACTTTGGTTATCACAATTGTCTGTTTTATCGACTTTAATGCGTGTGACGGGTTTAGCCAGATTCGTCTGCATAATTCTAGGAGGTTATGTTATTTAAATACATTCTTAGGAGATGTTGTATGTTCAAATGACGAAACAAACTTTGTGATGAGTTTCTCTTATTTTATCAACGTCTTTTATTGTGATACGAAAAAAGTTCACTAAACAGCATATATTGTGGATTTGTACACCTAGATGTTTTGTGGTCAAGGTATTTTATTGAACTCAGTTATTTAGAATATTTGCTCCTATTATTTAATTCACTTTGCAACACTGGAAATGTTGATTCATCACTGAGCTCCTTGGGATTGGCAAAATTCATTGGCTTGCTAGGAGCCCGGGTATTGTTTGATTAACTATATCCCTGGTTCTAAATGTTAAGAACTTCACTTTTTCAATTTGAATGATCATGTAAACCACTATATTTTTTAAGTTTTCCTTGGTTTAACGAGTACAGTAGTGTCAGACTTTACACTGCTCCATCCAGTTGGCGCGGATGGTTTATTTCAAAATACTTGAATGACAAATAATAATTAGTCTTTTAGTACCCTTCAACACTCTGCCACTTTGGTTCATCATCCTAGATAGGAAAAACAGTCTAGGTTCCGTTAGGATCTTAGGTACATTGAATGACTCCTCAACCTTTTCTGAATCCGTAAACGCTACCACATGTGTTGCTAGCTAACATGATTTTTTATTTCGTAATACCAGAGCTGTTTAAAGTCTGTCGAACAACCGAGCACCTTAACATTCGCTGTCGTACAACCAACACTTTAGAACGTTTTGTCATACAAAGACATTTTGTGGACCGAAAACTAAAGGTCTGTTACACTGTTGTGCTTGTTTGTTAATAATTTATTCAGAAAACTAGATAACTCGTGCTTTAGAGGGCAATCCACTTAAATATTCACCAGTGCATTACAATGCGAAATCCGCCCCGCCCATTTTTATTTAGTTAGTTGGTTATGACTCACACAGCAACATCTGCGTATGCTAAGTAGGGTATCTTTATTAATAGGAATTGAACCCAATCACGATACCAAGAATCCATTCACTCTTCAATATCTAAATCATTCGTTTCTTATTACTCTTGTCTACTTTCGTTTCTTAACTCATATACTTGTCAGTCAGTCAGTAACAACTTAGAACTTCGTACGTACGTACATCAGTTCGAGTTGCCATACCACATTAGCACAGAGATGCAGTTGTCGATTCAAATCCCGTAGTGGTAGAGGTAATAAGAGTATAAGCAGTAATCGGGAAGATTAGTGTTTGGAGATGTTATTTAAAGAGTATAATATAGTGAAATAAATTTGGGAAGAGAAAAAAGAGACAAGGAGGAATAAGGAGATCAAAATTTGGGAGAACACAGAGAGTGGATGCACCTGCGCCATTGCAAACGATTTTGAGCCATGTCATTCAGGGTCTCTAACCATCGGTTGCTATCATCTCGCGGTCCCCAACCAGGTAGTCTACACCTACCAACATGACTCAGTCCACTTGTCAGTGACTTCATGGACTTGTGCCATGTTTTGGTCTGGCCGCCCCTAGCTTTCTTCCAACCTACTCCTATACCACTGAACATAGCACGTCGAGGCAGTCGGTCGTTGGGCATACGTAACACGTGTCCCAGCCATCTCAACTGATGAAGTTTCACTACTTCATCAATTGATTTGCCATCCTTACCTAGTACCCGTTTCCTAACAACTGCATTACTTACTCGATGGTCCCATGATATACGAGCAATATTTCGAAGACACCTATGATCAAATACTAGTAACCTACGAATATCCTCTACTCTTACCGGCCATGTTTCACTGCCATAAAGTAGGACGGAACGAACTGCTGCGCAGTAAACCGTCCTTTGGTTGATAGACGGATATCTCGCCTACGCCATAAATGACGCAAGTTGGCAAAAGCTAGTCGAGCCTTCTGTATCCGTGCTGAGATTTCGTCACACACTAACCACAAGGGCTGATGAGACTTCCAAGATAAGTGAAGCGGTCGACACACTCAACTACTTCACTCCCTATCACTAGTTCGGGTGTCGATGTAACCCAATCCTGAAGCAACATTTTGCATTTCGAGGGAGAGAATCGCATCCCGAACATGCTTGCATTGTTGCTTAGAGTGGTCAGAAGACTCTGCATTTTGTCAGCGTCTTCACCAAATAAAACTATGTCATCAGCATATTCTAAGTCAACAAGTGAACCTCCCGGTAGAAGTTCAACCCCTGGAAATTTAGATGAGGAGAGTGTTATCTCTAAAAGTACGTCGACCACAAAGTTGAACAAGAATGGGGAGAGTGGACAGCCCTGACGAACACCACTTGAGGTAATCAATTCTGATGACAGTTCGCCATAAGCTCTCACTCTACCAGTTGTGTTCGAGTAGAGAGCCTTTATAAGGTTAATGTACTTCTTTGGTACTCCTTTCAGTGACAAACACTGCCATAGAACCTCACGATCAACAGAGTCGAATGCCGCCTTAAGGTCGAGAAATACTACCATTGTGGGGCGTCTGAATGTGTGTCTGTGTTCTAGAACCTGACGTAGTGTGAATATCTGATCTATACAACCACGTCCAGGTCGAAAACCAGCCTGGTTTTCTCTAGTCTGCTCTTCACGAGCTTTGTTAGGCGTCGAAGTATTATTGAAGCTAATATTTTAGACACTATATTAGTCAAACTGATTCCTCTGTGATTGTCACAAGAGGACTTTTGTCCTTTCTTATAGACTGGCACAATCAGTGATTGAGACCAGTCAGATGGGATTACGTCCAGTTCCCAAATTCTACCTAAGACCTCAGTTAATCTCATTGCTAATACTGGACCACCATCCTTAAAAATCTCAGGAGTAAACCTGTCAGGGCCTGCTGCTCTCCCTCGTTTCAGATTTCCTATGGCTTTTTCAACTTCGTAAAGGGACGGAGGACCTACATTAACTTGCCATTCAGGTTGACTGGAGATCGTGGGAAACCGAAGTGTGGCTGAAGGCCAGTTGAACTGATCCCTAAAGTGTTCTGCCCATCGATCCAATCTCCTGGATTGAGAATGAATAATATGTCCATCTTTCTCTGAGATTGTTTCGCTAACGGTCGGGTTCCTAATTCCGGTTTCCTTAACGAGTCTGAACAATTGTCTGCTATTACCTATTGCCGCTGCCTTTTCCATCTCTCTTGCTTTCGCTACCCACCACTGTTCGCGATCATTGCGTAGACTTCTTGTCAGCTTGCGCTTAAGCTGACTCCGCTCTTCATTATGTTCAGAGCCAGGTGGAATGAGTTTCCGAGCATCTATCAGTGCGATAGATGCTGCTGAGATCCAGTGTTGCTCCCTAACCTTCTGGTTTACCTTACTAGCAGATATCACTGCTGTTTCCACAGCTTTTCGGATATCATTCCATGCTGCATCGGGGTGGGCATCACATACATGGCTGCCTAACTGTTTTCCTAGTTGTTCCTGAAATATACTCTTAGCTTGACTATCATTAAGTAGGCCCTAAGAGGTTTCCAGTAAGACGCAAGCAAATACGCGCTCGCACTAGAGCATGATCTGAATCTAGGCATGTGCTCCAGAATGAGCGACAGTCTTCTATCGAGCCCCTCCATCGGTGGCTGATAGCGATGTGATCTATTTGGGTCCAACGTTGGGACGAATTAGGGGGTCGCCATGTTAAAAGATGTTTTTCCTTATGCTTAAAGTTAGTATTTGCAAGGAACAGGCGGTTATCTGAGCATAGCTGCAACAGACGGTCGCCATTATCTGTTCTTTGAGCCACGACCCATAAGATCCACCTAGGTGTCTTTCCCTATCGCTTAGTTTACCTACTTGAGCATTAAAGTCACCGGCCACTATTACTACATCCGAGCGCCTAGCTTTTCGGAGAAGGTCCGAAAGCTT